CTACTGCGTAGAATTAATTGGAATTTTTCACACACAAGCCTTGCTATATGAGCTCTCAAAGCATATAAAAATTATACGGCTTAAATGTGAAGTTGGGTGCAAAAGAATACAATTAAATCCTCTGTCGGGAAAAAACGAAATGACTTTCCGAACAACCCGATACTAAATGCTAGTAAATGGGCAGTCTGTCCAACCTACAGTCTAGTTCAAAACCAGAGAGTAGGATTAAAGGTCCTCGTTTTAGGAATCATGATGGTGGTAAAGTAAAAACAAAGCAAACGCTATTGGAAAGTTTCACCAAAGTTTTAGATTGTAGTATATAATTTACTGCATGTCTTTGAAAACGATCGCATGACCGAAACTTGTTAGGATTTTTTCTAATAGAACTTTTGTAAAACTTTCCAATAGTGTTTGCTTCGTTTGTATTTCATTCGTCTACTAAAAATGAAAGAATACTACGAGATTTACTACAGCTAAATAAGACGTTGAAATATAAATACTAATTGTTGTCACTATTCCTCTTGTAATAGACATTTACGGTTTGTTTCTTACGACAATGGTTTAAGTTTTAAAACGAAACAAAAAAGTGCTGATGTGACATATTATATCCTCGTATACACTTAATAAGAAGAAATCCTAAAAAAAACTGAAGTAGACAAATAGATTTAAAGATGACAACCACTCTCAAACTTCAAGTACAGTTGAGTAACTTCTCTTATTAGAACGACTTCAGAAAATCATAGGCGGTAACAATAATAAGTAAAAAACGACAATAATTAAATTCAAGCAGCCAAACAAATTTTTGCGACTAGTACATAGCTAAATGAAACATATCAACAGTATAATACGTAACTCCTGAAACGTAAAACGTTTTTATAAGAATCACCTGTCAACTCTTTCACACGCACATAACGTCATCAAAAAATAAACTTGTTTGTGAATAAATGATAAATAAATACTTAATATATGCATCTGAAATGTACTGGAAAATTTAAAGTATTTCAGTTAAGAAGGGTTTTATTTTTTTAAATAGATCTTTAATAGTTCTAATTTTCTTCCTGGTTGAACCCATGAAAATTTGGACTGACGAAAATACAAAAATGAAAAATATTTGTTATGGAATGTGGAAATTCGCCGTAATTATGACGGTAAAATTTATCTGTGTTTACAGCATAAATGGTATTTACCTATATCTAAATATTTTTATGTATTAGAAGAATTCCTTAAAGTCTTCAATCATCATTAGGTATTTCTACATAAACAAAGGGCTAAGTATTTTTTTATGATGTTTTGCGTATTTCATATTCTCGAAATTATCAGCTGAAGATGTAGATATTTATCTAGGAAGTAATTTCAAAACCTAATTTGTTTACCATCAGATCGTCAGTTCGTTAACACTAATAAACTCGGTGAATAATAATTATAAATAAATAAGTAATAATAAAAAATGATCGAATTTTAAGTTTATAGAACTGCAAAAATGTAGAACCGTGGTTTATATGTAGATCGACGGTGAAAATACAGTGAATAGAGAAAGTTACAAATAAGAAGGTATTGGGCACCTTAACTATTGTATTTACCTTATCGTTAATTCTATATAGAGCCCTAATAATCGCAACGCATAATTGTCCTTTATTTCGTTTAACATTCATTTCACAGCAAAGCAGTATAATAATAATCAGGAAATGCTACAACTAATTCTAATTGTTAAGTATAGTACATTTTAATTTATTGTATTGGCTACTCTGCTCGGTCTAGGTTTGGCAGTACTGCCCACGCGTTCTTGTGTTCGTAGTAGTTGACTAAAAGTAATCGTAATGTGAAGATACAAAAGTATATTGTAATGTTTGGATACAAATAAACACAAGTAAATTAACAAAAGGACTATTTTATTAACACTAATAATTGCATTCATTAACCAACAGGACATCTTAACAATTAAATTTGAGTTAAAATGAATGGAAGTTTCCAATTGAGCATTCTTTTAATTTTATTTCTAGAAAAGTTATATAACATAAACATTATAGGTTCTCGTAATATATTTAACATAAGTAAAGAAAAATTTCTATATGGTTATGTGCTATGTACCTACTTACAGCCACGAAAGAGAATATGGCAATTTACAATTTCGCTTCAAACGAGTTCAAAGTTCAGCTGCCTTGGATTGTTTTCGATTGAACTCGAGGTAAAATACATACATTGTTTCTAATACTTGAAAAGGTTTTATTGCATCTTGATAATTATTATATTGCGATTACTGACAGTAATTTTAATTTAGCATTCCATGATTTCCGGATAATTTAGACGCTTTTATTTACATTCAAGATTGTACTTCATAATCCATTCAAAGATCCTTACTCATATATAGTCATTTTTTAACACCTAACGCACACCTTACGTATTTATGTAAAAAAAAATCATTGTACATTTCAGACAAGTAAAACCATCTTTGAAAACATGTAATTAAACGAAAACCGACCTATTTCGCGTGGATCATTTTGTCAGGCGGTAATCATAAAACGTCATCTTATAACTTAACATGTGCTTTCTGTCATTAATTTAGACTTTTTGTCATCAGAAGTCTCGAGTTAGAAAACGTGAGAATATGTCAACAATTTTACGACTTTATAGAACATAAAAACTAACAGGTTTTTTCAGCCTATTAAAAAAAAAACAGTTTTGAACAATGTATTTATTTAAATAAATTAAATGACAGATTATGAAGAAGCGAACTGTGATGTTACCCTTATTGTTACTCATTACGAGTTTGAACACATAAAAGCTGAACAAACAAAAAGAAATGATTTTAATAACGATTTTACTTTTGCGATATACCTAATCTAAAGATAGTCTTTGAAAATTACACAGAATTAGCAGGGGCGGATCTTGAATTTATGGGGCCCTGGGCTAATACTGCTTAGGGGCCCTACCTAATTACCCAACCAATTGCCATTTTGTCAAAAAACAGTTTTCTGTAGTGATGTAGATATATATAATATATGTTAAGTACAGGAAGAAAGTAGGACAACAAAATATTTTATTTATTTATTAAAACATTATTTATTGCAAAATAAATTGACAGGCTATGAATGGTCATGTTATATAAATTATAAAGTAACCTTTCTGCATTTTTGTGCTGCAAATTCCTTTATTTGGTCATCGCATTGTAAGTCCTTTGTTAAATCGCAATTTATGAAAAGAACTGTTAAATGATTTAGTCGATAGTTCAACATTGTTGTCCTGTATTTGTATTCTATATACGACATTCTGGAGAAAGAGCGGCAACGTTAACAAAATTTTTAAGATGGTATAGCAGTTTGGGAAAACATTAACAAATTAACACGGGTTGATTGATCGCAGTGTTGTCAATCTTATGATCGGATTTTTTTTTATTGTAGATAATTTTTATTATTGACAATATCGACTATTGTTTTCAGTTCAGGTTGGGGGCCCTCTGTATTCACGGGGCCCTGGGCTGCAGCCCAAAAAGCCTTTAAGTAGATCCGCCCCTGAAAATTAGATTAACATTAACACCATACAGAGGAGAGTGAACCTAAGTCTCATATTTACAAACGTTTTATGAAGTTTACTTTCTTCAGTCAATTACCGAGGTACTTTACCACTGTACTTACAATAAATACGTTTGTACTATGTGCATCATACTTGTCCGATGCAAAATGTAAACATTGTTATTGTTGCTAATAAAAGATCCTAATAATTGAGTTTGGCGGTAAAAATTACACTCTGTGAATGAGCATTGACCTGATGTGGGTAAATACTGAACGCACACGTACGGGAGCGATATTCGTTTATTTTTAAACACAATCATTTCATGTAAAAAAAAAGCAGCAGGATCGAAGTACAAAAGAATGAAAAAGGAAATTAGCAAATGATTTTCTTTTTTTTACCGTCGATGCTACTATTATATAGTTAATATTTGGATTTGATTGGCTGCATGACGTCTTGAAAAAGTTTGAAAGATTTCGAAAAAGGAGTCTCACACGCTGCTAAATTTCCTCATCTTCTGTGATAAAAATGTATCTCGATAATTTTAAATTCTCACTTTAAATCCCCTTAAACCATGAAAAAATACAGACTCTAATGCATGAGTCCTCTTCTGTGATTCTTGATAACTATCTAACTAATTTGTGTGATGACTGAGTTACTGTAATTTATTATTACCTAATAATCATCATCATAGGGTCGCCAGTCCTAAGACTGGTTGGACACGTAGGTACCACCACTTTTTCCTATCCTGACTAGAACAGCCCATTTCTTTAACTATTTGCGAACAATAATGTAATCTAGGTCTACCTCTACCCCTCCTAACTCCTGTTTCTGCCTCTAATATGTCTCTGACTAGACCTTCATGCCTGAGATGTCCTACCAACCTATATCGCCTATTTTTTATTGACTTCCATAGAGTCCTCTGTTCTCCTATTCTTTCTAATACCTCATTTCTAACCTTTTCTACCCACGTTATCCTCATCATCCGCCAATAACACTACATTTCGAAGGCTTCTAACCTTTTCTTTTCCGCCGCGCCCACTAATAATACGTCATCAATAATCTACAGAAACGGATTACATAAAAAACCTTCAACCACTTATCTTAAATAAAGCTCCATATTTAAGTATGTCATTAAATTAATTTTTAATAAAGAAAACACTTTCCTTAAGTTTTCTTAAAACTCTGAAAATGTAGTGTAAGGAACTAAATGCTGCAGTAAAACCTATTAGTTACTAGGTTACTACAATGTCATTAAGTACTTTTTAAAAAGGATAGCTCAACTTCGAGCGTTGTTTAAAGTTCTAAATGCAAACGAATTGCATTTGAAAGCTGCATGTGCTATACTTTGCCTTATTAGTACCTGTAAACCGAGGTATGGACTAGAAGAAAATGAAACGCAGGTTTACCAAGACTTGAGATAATTCAGTTTAATAATTATTTTTTATTTATTAATTATTAACATATTGATTTTCAATATACAGAATGTTTACATATGTATATAACATGATCGTGTAAGCTGGTTTAAGATTGCAGAATAGCGTAGGTACGTATGTAACAGATGAGGTTTTACAAATAGTAAATAATATGCATTCGGAGAAGACCGTTGAAAAGGTTCGGTGATTATCGATGGGGTCGAAAACCACATAACAAACAAAGAAGATGAAGGAAGAAGTATCTTATTTTCTTAAATAATTGATAAGCTGATTCTTCAATACCTGAAATCAAGTAAATCGTTTTCACCTTATAAATTAAATCATTTTTCCAAAACAATCATTGAGCATCGCGTTGTGGCTTCTCAAGTTCATTCACAATGCAGAATTATTCGTGTAGTGGCATTTGCAGAAATAAACACAACGCGTTCTGATAAACGCAAAAAGGCAACAACACGATATTTTAGGATCATCTATTTCTTTATTTGACCACGATGCATTGTATTGGGTTGTTCGGAAAGTCATTTCGTTTTTTCCCGACAGAGGATTTAATTGTATTCGTTTGCACCCAACTTCACATTTAAGCCGTATAATTATTATATGCTTTGAGAGCTCATATGGCAAGGCTTGTGTGTGAAAAATTCCAATTAATTCTACGCAGTAGTTTTTGGTTGGTGCCCTTTTAAATATGAAGAGCGATAAGCAGCATTTTCGACATATCTTACTGTTTTACTACAGAAAGGGTAAAAATGCTG